TTATGTTCAGACACGCTACTGGTGACGAAGCCAGGTGAGTGCTTGAGATTAAACCTTTGTGATGAAGATGGGCACGAATGCGATCTCGAAGATACTCAAGAGATTTGTCGAATCCTCTGAAGGCCGATTATACGCGACATGCCAGAGATATTTGTTTTTCTGATCAAAGTCGTTAATTGGTTGAGTCTGTCGAGACCTGCGTCAGAATTGAATGTTCTGACACGAACTTGTAACCTTCGTGATTGTATACGGAACTCCCTTGCACGCGACTGCATCGTGATCAGCATAAGAAGTGACGACCTCGCTGGACGCCTTCTAAGGAAGTGAACCCTAACCCTTAATCAGTGTTTTAACATCTACGTTAACGAAATGAAAACAGTCTAGCAGTTTCAAATTTTCCGTGCAGAAACAACAGCAAAACTTTCCGCAGGGTCCAGGACCATGAAACACTATCCTAGCTATCCGACGGACAGAAGCCGTTGTCTAGAATGGAGAGCTGTCCAGTTTGGAGAAAGGTAATCATTTTGTTCGCTGCTGCAGGTCCGCCAAGATAAATAAAAGTATTTTATTTGTCGACAGTGCAAGAGACTTAAGAAAAGACCAGCGGATGCACAGTTTCTCCGAAGATGATGTCATTCGAGATAGAAGTGGAGAGGAATCCCTTCAACATATAGAGTCGGTATGCTACTGCTTTGCTGCCGAAGGAATGTGGGCCGGCTCCTTTGGTGAAACGCTGGTCCCATCCCCATGCCTCTTGGTCTTGTTCCTGTGGGTTTACACTGGTTATGGGTGTGTGCGTGGTGCAGCGTAAGCCACCCATGGTCCCTCTGGAGATGCAGACATCTTGCGGTTGTCCTATAGAGGCCGCAGTGACAGGCAAATCCGGAACCGGATGCCGCCAACCATCTATATGTGCCTACATCGTGCTTTTCCACCGACTTACACTTGCACTTAAACTAGAGCTTCTGCCTGGATAAAAAGTATTCTACTTTTTTAATTTGCTCAGCTTTGTTATTCAGCTGCATATTCCGTGTCAACTTGCGTGTCTAATTTCTATCAACTTCGGTGTTCTTTGATATCCTCGATGTGGCTGCGCTTGTTGTGAATGTTGACAGGGTGCCTATCTCGTATAACCGCTACAGCGATTATACTGGCTCCAGGAGACTGTTGGTCTTTGCTTGGGGAGACGGGGTGCACGGTCCTCGTGGCTGCGCTAGGCTGAGTGCTTCCATCTAAGGTGGAGCGAACCACGGTCCAACCACCGTCTTGTGCACGTCTGGTACGCATGTTCCCCACGTTAGATAGAAACGCTACTGCCGTACATGTTAAAGGAATGTGAGCCGGCTTCGTTGCTGAAATCTGGCTCCATTCCACATGCCTCTCTGTCTTATTCCTTCGGGTTTGGACGGAGTATGAGGTGTGTGGATGGAGCTGTCGGTAGTGCTGCGCAAGGCACACATGGTCTTTTTGTAGAGACAGGCTTTCTGTGGCTGTCTTATGGAGACCACAGGGACAGGCAAATCCAGAGTCGGATGTCGCCAAACTTGTGCGTTACCTTATTGCTTATTCACGGTGTTCAAGCTTAGACTCAGTTGAATGTACTGGAGGAGGCTTTGTTTGTGCTTTTCATATTAATGCAAAGGTTTTCGGAAGGTGAATAGTTCCCATGTTACTCATTGAAAGTCAGTATAGCAAACAAGCTCATTTTCGGTGATTCATCAGGTTTTCGCCGCCTTCCTCCATCATGTGTTCTTGTACCGAAATACTCCTTCGTATTTCGACCCAACTAGGGAAATAAGACTTTTTTTAGTTAAAGTCGGTATTTTATTCTCCTACTGACACTCCATCCGACTTTCGGTCGATTTCGACTTATTACGAGATTTCGATTCAAATGTAAGGAAACAACGAAAGTACATTTTAACGTGTTTGTCAGCAAAAGAAATAAATTCAGAAGGTCTGGCAAAATAGGATTCAATATAATACACCTCAAAACTAGCTGGGAATGCATAAAATATGGCAAATGATCCCTATACTTTACGGTAGTAGTAAATTTTAAACGTCCTAAAATACAGTATTATTATGGAAAGCATTTTCTTTATGAGAGTGAATCAAAAGTGAAAAACGCGCAAACCAACTGCAACGACTTCTGGCGCTACATACAATAGTGATATCGCTGCGGAATATGCAGTATTTAGCGAATGTCAAAATGCCTACGGATGGATCAGATATAAAGAAAAGCTAACATGTATTAAGGGATAAATCTTAACTTGCTGTATTGCGAAATGTCCGCAATAATTACACTTTGCAATCTAGCGCACCTGTAACCGAGTTTTCCAGATCTATGTGAACATATTCGGCTGGATTCTTAAGAAACTTGCAGCGAGACCCAACAGTATCGTTACATTTCATGTAACTGATGAGGTGAATGCTGTTCATCATTACGATATAAATGTTTATGACTAAGTATACGCGGTTGGAATAAGAGACAAATTGTCGAAAGTCCTTTCGGCTGAAATCTGGATAGGTAGATCCTCATCGACTACGGTCCCATAGTGCCAGTTCATGTAAGGATGAGGTGTTGTTTGCCCTCGTGTTTTGATGCGTCTTAGTGTTCAGCTTGCTGTTCTTTTACATGCTCATCATACTGTTTCATAAATATGACAGTGTTGCGATCAGAAGCTGTGGTGGAGACCGAACTGGAGTTTGACGATATTCGGTAGAGCTTGGGTACCTCACCCGCCATCACGTCCAGCATTGTTCTAGACGATGTTATTCAAGTACTTCAGGCAGAACGACTGAATAATAGTGTAAGCTAGGAGGAGTAGGTTCGTTAAAAAGTAGGAGCTGGTTGACTGCAACGATTTCGCCGGAGGTTCTACTAGTGCATGGTAAGCACTAGAGCCATGTAAAATAATTTCATGGAGATGGTCAAATTGGTGATCTAATATTCTTGTATTTCCAGCTAGCCGATATTACAGGGGCTACTCTGACACAGCAAACTTTTAAGCCACTTTACCTAAATATAGGGATGATCAAGATGACAACAATGTCCACAAAATATCATCTGCCTTCCCATGCTGCCAGTCTGCCAATGTTGTAAATGGCGAGTGATGAGCTTTCCGTTCTATCAAAAGGTAGACGATGATGGCAGAAGGTGCTCGTTTGTGCTAAGCTGATCAACGGGTTGTAGACAAGCAGGAGACCGACCAGTCGCTGTCGATTCAAACTGATCACATGTGGAGGAAACACAGAGGAATCGGGGTCGACTCAGCATAGAAGGAACATAGCACAGCTTTGTAAAGGACAACGACGAAGCAGATCGACTGGAATAGCCGTGAACGGACTAAGCGTGTGCACTAGCCAGAAAGAGCTGACGCGTCGAAGCTTGAGTTGAGGCGAACAACACAGACAAAGCAGAAGTTGATTGGCGCGAACGTAACTGCTTGTCAATGCGCTACCCTCATCATTATGCACGTTAGCTGCAGGTGGAAATCACCTCAGCTATTGTGCCGCAGTACAAAAGAAAAGAACAAAACATGAAACAGGCGCGCCGGCTGTCACCAGTAACGGGTGGACATCGTTCCGGAGAGCTAACAGCCAGCTATTGTACCTCAAAAAGGAGTTATCTTGTGCCTAATAAATGAGATCGTGATTGGAAGGGGCGGCTGAGCGGGGGGGGGAGGAAGGCCAACGAACAAAATAACAATGTGTATCCTCTATTTTACAGAAGACGTGTTTTACTCCGGAGTTGCTCTTTATTCTGCTTACCTATCGTTCTGATTTGCACCGATTCAGCGCTGACCAACTACCTTTAACGTGGCATATATATATCGAATTTGTCTGTTTGCATCCTCTTATTTTTCTACGCTTTGTTAGCATCATTACAATCATGCTTCACATCACTTGACTTAAATAAATAAATAAATCTTTTATTTCTCGACGATCTGAGAGATTATTCCCACATAGAGAGAGATCAAACTATTCGCAGATTTTTTCATTTAGTCCCCTCCACTTATTAGATGGGAATATGCATTATATTATATCCATGTCACTTTCACACATGCGCGTGGTTCAGGGTGAAGTGCAGCAGATTGTGCTGGGGTCATATCCTCCGTAAACGGAAGTTCTGTCGATCTGAACCAGCGCAGTCTGACCACAAGGCGAAATTGGCACTTTCGTGGATGAGCATCCTTTCAAACCCGCTGACGCGCAGTCCAACTTCATCTATCGATTAACACGTTCAGAAGTCCCATTTCGTAGTGAACTCAGGGAGGAAGTAAAATAAACAATAGTATCGAGGTAGGTAAGGAACAACTATAAAATGATTTCTGGTAAAAAATAAAGCGTAAATACCTGGCAAAGAATAATCCAAAAATATAAACATCAGTTTGTAAGGAATACTTTAGCCAGCGTTCTTGTAATTTCCCTAGTAGTTGTTCTGGGACATAAAAATGTGGACTCATGCCAAAAGCCTTACTCTGTGAGAAAACTACTTCATAATGAAACGAAACTTCTACTAGCAACAGACTCTGGCGCTAAGTACAATGAGAGCGAAAGGTGCACCGTTTTGTAAATGACAACATTTCAGTGCGACGCAGCTATAATAGGGAAAGCGACCTAGATAATGACAACATAATTTTAAATTGTCAAACGAAGTATAAAAACTGTAGTATAGCACAATAATATATGCGGTCATGAGTTGTAGTGGCCATATATGGCCGCTACACTCCGGATTATTATGGCATACTGACTGATTGCTTTACTGCCGTTCATTGTAGAGCACTTGATCTTTCCCGTTGCAACCTCGTGTTGCTTAAACGTAAACGAGCGCACTTGAATGTATCATTTACTTGGCTTCCCTCCTACTTCTTTTAACAGAATGGACGTTTTTTTTGAAGCTGTTTGTCGACACATTATTTCACACAGTTGGGTCCTCTATCCCACTAATCAGATGCTATTTCTCTGGCTTTTGTCCTTTGCGTTTTGTTGTTCTTCTATAGTTTGAATTATGGAAATCAGAGACAGAAAAGATGATCGGATTTTGTCGAACAGAAACGGTACCCCACATCTTTTTCCGCCCAAAAGTACATAACGATGAGTCCAATCGTCGCGTTGAAGAAACAGCAAAGGCTATTAACAGTGGGTCTTGTTATGCTTTTTTGTAAATCTTTGTATGCACGCGTTTGTGTTCACACCATTTCTGTCTGCTCACAGCAAGCGGGATACCTTTTCATCTATGCTACTAAGTCGATTAATGGGATCCGGACCATCGTTCTTTCTATACTCACTCATTCTTCAACTCTTGAAACGGCTGCTAATACCCCATCGATCTAACTAGGTTTACTGAGGCTTCCCCCTATTTATCCTGCTTTTTCCAACCATCAATTTCACAGCTGTTATTATGTCTCTTCTTTTGATCCGACCCAGAACAAACTTTGTCTTTTTTCTTCAATTTTTATCCAATTCTGTTAATCTGAAACCATCACATTTCGGAACTATGATTATAGTTGTATGCTGAACTGACCTAGAGCCCAGCTGCTCTCACCTGGTACGTGTTGGATCCGCAATTTTTCTATATCATGGGATTACGCACAGCTGCTTATTGCTAGTCTTGAAGTCGCGACTGTTAGTAAACTTGCATTGTCCACTGGAGCACTAAAGATGCATGTCAATACGCTGCTTTAACTTGCGTGTAGTGCTTTATCATCGGTCTGCACCAGCACTTGGATAAATAATTCCCTTATTAGTGTTTACAACCCAATTTACCTCAGACCTATAATATTTTGGCTTTACTCAACCTACATTGTTCATTCCCCGTTTTTCTGGACACTTCTTGAGCGATGTAAACACATGTCTCTGATAAATGCATTGCTTTTTATCATACTTTATTGCAGACATGATCAACTGCAGACAGCGCAAATTGAACCTAACTATCGATGAATCAGCCGCCCAGCGTCGTCGTCTGTTTTCCTTACAATCCGAGCGAGGACAACTAGATGTTCTTCGGGATAATGCGGACAACAGGACTGTTGACGACTGGGCTTCCACTTCCCCACCGCGCAAATCGTTCACACTTACTAGCCTTGTGCACTCGGTGAATACAGGTGATCCAAGCTCGATGAAGTCACAAAAATCCAGTGAACCATCCGGACCAGGTAACTTGGAGACAGGTGACCTTTCAGATGGTAGTGAGAACCTGGCGATGGAAGGAGATGATGAGCCTGTCTTAATGGAAGAAGAGGATCACTTACAGTCCACCCAATCGGTTATATCGTCCGTTACCGTCAAACCAAAAGACTTAGATTCTTCTCCATTAATGAAAAATGACACGAGGACTGTGCACATGTCAGCATGTGATTGAATTGTTCGGGATTGGCATTTGAGCGGCTTGGGAATCATAGGTGTGGACTGTCAAGATTCTGCCCAACCGTTGTACAAATTCTTGCTTTTATCTCTTGTTCTCATCTCTTATGTTGCTGGTTTTTGCCATATCCGCGAGACGAAGTACTCCTCTGTACACATGCCAACACGGTGTTTCACGATACAGCCGAACTTTTTAAATACACATTTTTTTGGTATTGTTCTCCATTTTGTAGCTATTATTTTCCTGTTTGTCTTGTTGCAGTCGATCTTTACATCCGAGCATAAACACTAGACGCAAGCACTTAATGTACAAGTGGTGTGTGCAAATGCATTGTACTGCCATACTCGTTTCACTGTATTTACATCTAACTCATGCAAGAAAACTGAGTAGCGTGCTCTGATTTGTGGTTTTTCGGTGACAGTGCTGCATGTTGTTGTAGCGAACCGAATGTAAGCGTTATGATCCCATCGGCATTACAGCTGCCACGGCTTACGTTTTTATAACTAAATAAATTTTCTATTCTCGGTGTTGCAAGAGACACGCCAACAAGGCCTGATCAAAAAGGTACAATCAAATCTGCAGCGATCAAATGTGATCAACTTTGGTCTTGACATTGGAAAATGTAAAAAGTGATATAAGGTTGTGATAACTGTTCGAATTCACAGTTGAAACAGATTGTTAGAGAAAATGTAAAAATGTTTGATAATCACCTTATGTGATGCTGGAATTTATTCTAAGTAAATGTTATGGCCTGAGGCAGATCTCGTATGATGTTAGTCGCACTCAGCTGTTTTCCACTTTCCATCCTCAAGCGTATGGTGCATTCTGTGGCCGCGTTGGGTTTCAATCCTGTTCATCCAAGCGGTGTGTTCTTTGCAAGGGTAAATATCGGAGTTGCTAAGTATGGACTATTCAGTCGTTGAAGCAGTGATCTAGTCCAGTGAACGTATCTGTGGGAAACTTGGAGAGGCGCAAACACATTGAAAGGGAGCTGTCCGGAATGAGCTGTTTTCATTTATTTTCCTTGAATTACTTAGCGGATAAATTTTCGTGAAGCTGTGGGGCTTTTGATGCGGGATGTGATTACGCTTTGACGTAATCGTACGGTTGTGTAAGGGTATGGATACCGCCGGGAGTCCTGACATATTCATGTTAACAGTCAGTGCCACCAACTTAAATTACAAATAGGAAGGTCAGAAAGCGCATACTGAGATGGCGTTGTCATTTCATGCATTCTCGTTGATCACGTACGCTTAGATAACAGGATTCAAAAACATGTCAACATGAAATCGTTTTGGTGGCCAATAGTTGGGTGCTTACTGCGCCACGGTACCACAATGAGCCAGTCACTGTTTGCTGCTATTGGACAGAGTGGGGGACGTTCTCCATCAACAACATTGACATCGAGGAGGTTGAGAACATGAAGATGGTAGGTGCGCATGAGGACCTGGTGTACGATGTTCTTTAAGTGCGTCGTCACTACTGAGACAGTCCTGCCTCTTGAATCACCTGATTCTACCGCCAGTTATTCCATTCGTTTGCTTGACTACTTCGAACTTGGTTCGTCAGTTCTGACACCCAGATTCTGATCAATGTGCCCGGCCTAGCTGTCCACACAGCTACGAGTCGACTTGTACTTACAGTGTGACGTGCACTACTTCGAAGTCCGTGTCTTCAGTAAACACCTAAAATGTGGTCTCGTAGACACCATCAGCCCTTTATTCAGCCACATTGTGTACTTTTCTCAATGGGCACCCATCCCTTTAGTGGCGACTTTCATGTGGTGGTCACCCTTTGAACAACAGCTCAGTAAACACCGGCTTTTGAACAGTTGTTACTCGGTATCGTTTCGCTGTTTCACAGAAGCGCTTGATGAACTGCAAACGGATGGCTATCGCAGTGAATCTTTTCCAACAGCAACCCTCCTCGGTTTCCAGTGTCTCTGGTGTACAGGCCATAGGCGCACAATAAAATAAGGTTGCGTCTGCGAAAAGCCGATCTTTTAGTAGATCCACATGGTCGTGTGAGTAGTAGGTCTAGATACAAGAAACAATTGTGTCTCAGGTCACGCTAAAATTCGCATGCACACTTGAGTGCTCTGGTTGTACGCGCAATGTATTCATCCGACCCCTTTTATGGCAGTGTAATCTCAACAACACCATCATCATCTTCCCCAGCATCAACATCAGCATTCTGTTCGTCGTCATCATCATCACCCTCTGCATCATCGTCATCATTCTCGTCCTCATCCTGATCGCCCACATTATCATCATCATCCTCGTCGTCATCATCAACCTCTTCATCATCATCAGCAGCATCATCATCATACGACCAATGCTCTTCTGCGTATTATCCTATCACCCGCGTCGAAGTAGAAAAGATTGAGCGTGTGCTGCATGTAGCCACCAGTCAGATACCCAACTTACGAGGTCTGCCGTACGAAGACTGGTGTAAGTAACTAGGGCTTTACACCCTAGCTTATCGTCGACTGCCAGTTGACCTCATCATGATGCACCGGACATTACATCTGGGTGATTACCCCATGTTGAGGCCGCTGCTTCATCTGCGCACACCAAGCAGCACACGAAGACACCGGTATAAGCTTGTCGTACCGGATTTGAAGCGGGTCACTCACCAACTCTGTTTCGAACGCAGAGTGGCGAAGTTATGAGACGACCTTTTGCAGCACGTAGTTGAGGCGAAGTCGGTGCTGGAAATTAAGAAATTCCTGGACAAACACTGCCGATATAAAATATCACGAGCACACCACAGCATAACGAGTCTTGGTCCCAGAGTGACATTAGATGCAGGTGCACAGAGAAACATCTACTTGCTGCTCCCAACCAGTACTCATCTTTATGTTCATCCTCTTCCCCATCATCAGGTTCATCACTGATTTCACTGAGGCGTCATAATCTCATGGTCTTCCACGTACCGGAGTCAAAAGATGAAAACCCTCAGATACGTTATGATCACGATGTTGAGTTCCTCCAGGGGCTCATCGATAGACTCTTGGATGTGCGCGAGGACAGTGTGACGATTAAACAAGTAATCCGACTTGGCCAGAAAATTAACCAGTCATGTCGACCTCTGAGGATCACTTTTGCAAACCCTAATATGCCGCAGCTCATACTGTCTCGCCTGTCAAGGCTGAAAGGCATAAAAGTTCACATCCGCCGAGATTTGGAACCCGAGGACAGGGATTGTTTGAAGACTGCGGTCATTGAGCTCAAACGCCGTACAGAGGAAGGTGAGACTGACTTACAAGTTGTAAATTTTCGGGTGATCAAGAAGGGTGTACGAACCCGTATCAACCGGTTGCTCAACCTCCAGGCACGTCCCGCAGTACCTCCCAGGACCTCCGTGTCGCATTCGCCAACGTGTGCAGCCTAATGAACAAACGTGACGAACTGTGCCGCTTCGCTGTCTCGGAGCGGCCGGACATTTTAGGACTTGCAGAGACGTGGCTGAACTCCGACATCATACCCCAAGAAGTCGTGTTGTCAGGATACTCTTGTTTCCGATGTGACCGAAAATCAAAGGCTCACGGTGGTGTTCTGTTGTACATAAACTCGTCACTATCTGGCAAACTTATCAGTGCCTATCGGAGCGAGGATAGTTTGTGCGAGCAATTGTGGTGCACAATCCGTCTCAGGCGCGCAGAACTAATAGTGGGTGTTATCTACCGGAGCCCATTAAACCGTTGCTGCGGTTGGATACCACATGTACAGAAGCACATGAGCCGCCCTCAGTTCTTACTGATGGGGGATCTAAATTTACCTAAGATAATTTGGCCAGATGTTCGACTTCTTCCCGGTCATGGCAACGTTGAGGCTCAATTCGCTAAAATGACTATTGAAATTGGGGCAACGCAACATGTCATCCAACCGACGCGCGTAACTCCGTACTCGGCATCTTGTCTGGACCTAATGTTTACGAGCTGCGAGCAGAAGCTAAAAGAGATCAGAGTCATCGAACCTCTAGCGAACAGTGACCACTGCTCTATTGTAGCAAGCTTAGAACTGTCGTTACCATATTACAATCAACAGAAGCCGACATTCAACTATTGGAAGACAGACTTCAACGGACTCGTTCAAGCCGCAAGTCAGACTGATTGGACACTACCACATGATGCGTCACTTGAGGCGTGGTGGTCATTACTAAAGGGGAAGCTTAACTCGCTCTGTACTCGGTTCGTTCCCCTTAAGTATCCAAAAATCGGACCTGTCAAACCGCATTGGTTTGATAGGGAATACAGACAGTTAGCGCGACGACGTCGTAAACTTTGGGATAGATACATCAGCTCGGGTTGTGATGAAGATTACGCGGTGTACAGGAAATAGCGTAACTTATGTAACGCCGCAAAGATCAAGAAACGCCGGCAGTTCGAAGAGGAGCTAGCATCTTCGGCCACAACTGCACCCAAGCGAATATTTGCCTACTTGAAACGTCAACTGAAACCTGGAGACGACCTACCGGTCTTAGAGAGCTTAGACGGGAAGACACTCATTTCAAGCGCGCAGCGCGCGGACGCCCTGGCTACGCACTTCCTCACTGTATTTTCCAGTAAACCGGCGGCTGTTCCAGTACCGGCACAGGTTGCGCAAGTCTTGCTCGACAGCCTACAATGTGATGCAGTCGAAGTACATCAGCTACTCGTCAACCTCAATGGTGCAAAGCCCCCCGGGCCAGACGGACTTCACCCACTAATACTCAAGTCCCTATCGATTATCATCTCACCAGTTGTGACAAACTTTTTCAATAGATCGCTCTCTGAAGGATCCGTCCCGAACGACTGGAAATGCTTGATAGTTAAACCGCTTCCCAAGGGTGGTGATCCGAGTAAAATAGAGAACTATAGACCGATCTGTTTGATTTCGATATTATCCAAAGTTCTCGAGAAGGTTGTGAAAAAGTGTCTGCTGTCGTTCTTCGAATCGATGGACGTATTGACGCCAGCGCAACACGGCTTTACGAAAGGGCGATCCTGCATCACCAACTTGATGTACGCAAACCACCAGTGGGTTCGAGCTCTCAATGAACAGAAGGATGTTGACGTGGTGTACATCGACTTTAGTAAGGCGTTTGACAGAGTGAACCACGAGGTACTCCTTCGTAAACTGAGGACATACGGAATCGGTGGCACGTTACTTCAGTGGATACAAGAGTTTATTGTGGGACGAAGGTTTAGAGTACAGGCCAATGACTATCTGACAGAATGGTTCCCATCGACCAGTGGCGTGCCTCAAGGAACTGTACTTGGGCCAGCATTATTTCTTATTCATATCAACGATCTTCCGCAGCAGCTCCAGTCACCATGTGTCCTGTTTGCAGATGATTTGAAAAG